AAAATTTTTGTACGAAAGTCGTAATAGTAGCCCCTTCGTAATACAAGCCCCCCCTAAAAATTTTGAACACTCGGACAGTTTAGAAGCCCCGGAGGCTTCTATTATGGGGGGGGGGGTTTAGTAGTGTTTGTCAATAAAAAGTTTTTTTGAGTAATAAGGCATTCTTACTATCTTCTCATAAAGTTTCATCTAACTCAAAGCAACAGAGACAAGCCGTCAGCCACATTTTTGTTTTTGATAACCCACCGAATTCATTGGACGACAACGTTGTTTATTAAAATGAAAATCCATGACTGATGAACAAACTTGATGACGAATTTTTGAAATTGCTTCACTTAGTGGTTTATGTGAGAAATAATCGACGATTGTTGTCGTTGTATTTTCAGCTGATGTTGCTGCTATTTCTTCTCCAATATCAGCTGTTGTGACTGATCCTAGAGGTATAGCTCCAGAGGTTCAGAATGTTTCGACGCTTCTCCAAGCGAGCCTAAATATTTCCCCAAAACAAACTGGAACGATGACATTTCAGTTTCCGCTTCGAAGACAGTATGACGTCAGGGACACTTTCAAGATTTTCTCTAAAATATTATTTTCCTCCAGAGCAAGTATGAATTAAAATTTTCCTTTCAGTTATGCTTTTCTTCCGTGACCATCGCTGGCACTGAAGACCCCATTCTGAATCTCTGCATAGCTGGTGAGACAGTCCCATTATTGTCATTACTTTCTTCTTCCTCTTGTGATTTTGAACGCGCTCGTGTGGATTTTTTGGCTGATGGCGGCTTGACGGCGAGTGCCGCTGCAGCACTTTTCTCTTGTCTTCTTTTTGACATTATAGCGACGACCACATAAGATCTAAAAAAACAGAAAGACATCATTTCTGTGATACATGACGTATACAAGCCAGATGAAGAATCTAAAGTTCAAGTACAGAAGAAAACGTAGAACCAGCGATTTTGATGGAAAAGTGTACAGACACTCTGAAAAGTAAATGTACATTATATTTTACACTTCGTGGAAAAAGCAGAGTATACCGTGTACATTTTATTGAACACAATCCTATTCATCTGAATGTGAACGAAGAGTTGAAGATATTGGACAACAAATAATAATACGTAGAAAATTAGTCTTTTTCTTATATAAAAACAATCGTTACGCTTTACATATAGCCAGATTCTTAAAAACCTGTGTTCTTACACACAGTAATGTAACTGTATTTTTGATTATATATTTTGTAATTGTGTGTGTGCATACTACTCATATTTGGCCAGCACGTGCTTTTTCAAGATTTTCACACTTTATAAGAAAAAACAGAGTGGATGCGCACATGTGTGCAAATCTCATTAGGAATACTTAACTAGACAAAACACAACTTTCGAGATCGTTTCCAGTAAGAGCAGGAAAGTATTTTTGAAAGGGTAATTAACTTAACGAGAGGAAATATAGAAGACTAGGCAACATTTTTTACTGTTTCGAGAAGAATTCATAATCATCCATTTCTTCTGTTCGTCCGAAACTAGACTATTGTTGTGCCTTATACGATAGTTCTCTATGTTACATACTATAGTTTTGTTTTGTTTTGATTGTTGGTCTCTGTTAGTTCTTCTTCTTTTTCCTTATTTCATTTTTATAGTTTGACTCGAGTCATTGATATTACAGGTCGGAGACCTTTGATGGCTCTCACTTTTTGTGAATAAATAAACTGATCTTACTTAAGTCTCCATCCTATTTAGTGTTCATCTCTTTCAAGGCTATTTTCTCAATTCTGTATAACAGATATGTAGCAGGCTCTTTGCTTATTTCATTCGCATGGGTCTAATCGTTATTCTTAACCCAACAAGATATGTTAGGCTGATACTGCTTTCTAAAAACATTTTGCAACTGAACACTAGACTGAAGGAACTGTGTGGACCAATCCAATAACGAAGAAACAACAAAGTTCTTCATTAGGATTGGTACCTAAAGCCATGCCACTTAAGTATAGCTTAACTTTTACCCAATGAACATTTTTAAGATGATCCCAATGTGAACCGTAGTATGAACATAGGCCGCTGTTTCCTTATAGCTCCTAATAGTAACTTCAAGGGGTCAGAATTAATGCAACTTTATGTAGATAGTTTCTCCTTGGAGTTAAAATAGCGAACATAGGCTAGACCATGCCGCTCAGGCCTGGTCTACGCTATGAGAGTTAACTCTGGGTTAAGGAATCTGACTAAGAAGCAACACCAATCAAATTTCCTAGAGTTAACTCACATAGTGGATTCAGGTATTAATTTCTAAAACTAAAATTTCTACAACGAAGCGAAAAACTTTCTAGTAGCTTCACGTTGATGATAGTAACTAGTTCTATAAGTTTTAGTTGTAGAATATCTTGACTCGCATAGTGACCAAGTCGTACTGGGTAAAAAAACCATTGTACACAAAAATTTGATTAGCTAAAAATGCAGCCAGCCATGGCTCAGTCACAGATGACGCCACAGTCCAATAAACTCTACAAAATTGAGTACTGCAAGATCGAATGGAAATAAATGTTCATGTTTAAAGATCGGATGAGTCCATCTTACTTGAGTTGGATATTTAGAGAAATCTGATCTTTGGAGTAGCAGTCTAAATTCTTCAGTATCATTGTGAAAAGAATAATTGAAGGAAATATTCTTAATACATTATCGCGCAAATCAGGATTTTTATTATTCTTTGAACTACGTTTAGTCATTAAGTATTCTTTTTACCGTAAACACTGTGTACATTCCCATTTCGAGTTTTGAGATATAGTAGTAGTAGTAGTAATTTATTGCTATATTTCTGCACTTTTAAAATAATATACAACACATTATTATCGTAACTCTACTGGACGAACCTCGTCCCTGGTAGTGAGAAAAGAAAACCATATAGAAAAATAAAAGTGTTTTACACAAAAATTTTTTGATAGTGTTTACAATACAATGCAAAAGACATACATTTACTGAAAACCCAAGACATGGTCAAATAACGACAGACGATCTTTAGTTAAGATACTAACAATGGTTTTACGCGGATGACTTTTCCTCAAAATCTGCCTTTTTCCCTTAAGAAGAGACGGGTTTGAACAATATTCATGTAGGTACAACCTAGACATTTTGTGTTGGCAATAGTCAGAGATGACAGAGGGATTAGTTTTAAACATAGTAGCAACGAGATTGTTCCAATACTCAATTGTGAGACTATCAATCGATTTATATTTTTGGCAGTTCTCAATTTCAATGTTGCGGGCATCGTGCCATTGATGTATAATTCGATGAATCTGTCTATTCATTGCTTCTAGTTGAGTTTGTTTACTTTTTGGTAAAAGCGGATAAATATTTAAAATCCATTAATAATGAGGTCGAATATAGGCATTAAAAAGTCTATATCTTAGCCCCTCGCTTAGCATTTGAGAAGAAGCAAGACATTTGAAAGATGCTAAGTTTCTGCGAATTTTGGATTTTATAAAATCTAGATGTACTGAAAAAGAAAGTTCGGCATCTAAGAACGTACCTAGATTTTTAAACTTGGAAGTATGTGCTATTTGATGACCCTCGCATACTATCGGACCAATATTTTGGGGAGCTACCTGACGATGAAAAAGTGTCCAAAAAGTTTTAACAAAGTTTATTTGTTGTTTCCAGGTGGCGGAATATGTAATTAACGATTTGAGAGCATCTTCTATTTGTTCCCTAAGAATAGGTATCAGGGTGTTTGGTGAACAGAAGGGTGAAGGACACACCAAAATGGAAAGGTCATCTGCAAAAAGATACTTCCATTGAAGAGCTGATACTGCATTTAAAATATCATAATGATAAATAATAAAAAGAACTGGTCCGACATAGCTACCTTGCGGAACTCCCTTGAACAAAAGGAATAGAACTGATTTCACACCTTTGATCTCAATATAAGCAGCTAAATTCTTTAGATACGAACGTAACCAAGTCAGTAGGTACAAAGGAAGCCGAGTCTATGAAGTTTGAGCCATAAATCTTTGTACCATAGTTGATTAAACACCGCTTTAAAATCGACAAATAATGCTGCTACAGTGGTATTCTGATTTAAACTTTGACCGATCTGATCAATAATTGATACGAGTCGCACTGCCATATTATGTTTTCACATATCAGATCATAACAAACAGATAAATATTCTGTATTTGTCAGTAGTTCGAATTAAAGAACAACTGAACAGTTTTAGTTGAATAGATATCAATGTGCACGCAGACTCTGTGTTGTATTCACAATTGAAATATGTAAACACTTATGTACTGAAACTGAAGATAAAAATATACATGTGTAAAATGATCGCATGTTAAATAAGTTTCTCTGAAATACATATTTAAATGTATACACGTCTTAATAAAGTAGATAGGAACAACTTCATAACTATCGTAATTAAATAATAATCAAAAAAGTCTCTCCCTTTTTGCCTTAGACATCTGTTTATTGTACATAGTTGAATCAAAGTTTTCATTTTACCCAAACTATCATATATTTCGCCTTGTATGTTTACTTAAAGATAAATTGATAGAGATATGTATGTTATGATGTTGTTGAAAGGAAGCTTAATCTTATTGGGAAGTATACCGACAGATGGTTCAAACACAAATACAATTGTTCACATGATGATAACGAAAACACAAGAAAAAGGGAGCCGAAACCAAAACAACTCAAGAGTTTGATCAAGATGTTTTGCGTAAATATGTATATCATAATTTTTGCGACATGAAGAATCTTCTAGTCTACTGTTTACTTATTGTTTCTACTTCTATTTTTAATTGTCATTCTGATTATTACTGGTGACGTATGACATCGTGGACTTGCACTTCTTGCTATACAATGGCGAGCCGATTTAGCAGAAAATGTCAAGAAGCTTAGCTTATAATAAATATAGTTTAAATCAAGAATGCCGATTGCTTATTAAAAACTTACGGAATATATTATTAGAATGAGAATGAAAACATGAAAATTCAATATATGTGTTGATCGTTTTTGATCTAGAAAAACTCCTGAAAAGTTGATGATGAGTACTGTGTATTTATGGACTTATTCTATAATTTCAATTCTAGAACTAATATGTCTCGATATTGTCTATCTGATTGACTTTAGTACAACAATCCTTGTAAAGTTGACAAGATGTTCTAAGATTGATTGTTCATTTTCTATCTGTCTTAATTTTTCTAAACAATTTTTCTATTGTATTTTCTCAGTTAGATATTTAAATAATAGATGTTGACAGTGTGAATGATTATAGTCTAATTTTGACTATTGGATGCACAAATATAGAGAGAGACTGCTTATCAATTGATATATATTCAGATTTGATATGCATATGTAGTATGTAAATACTTGATGTCAAACATGAGCCTCGTAGTGGAAACAATTCTTTCTCTTCATTGTCTATTATACACGACAAGCGCTAAGTATCCCATACACTTATCAATTCAAAGTCCTTGAATAAAATTTTTATTCTCATTCATTAAAATATTCAGGAAAAAAAAAATTGACCTGAAGAGAACTCTCTATCTATCTATCCAAGTTAAAGAATATAAGTTTGATAAAGATATAAAGTACATATTCATAAATCCCTTTTACATATTAAATAGGGAGAGGACATGTTTTCTATTCCAATAATTGATCTGAAGTAGGTCTATTCATTGATGATATTATTGTAACCTGTATTGATAGAAAAAGAAAGAGACAGAGTGAGTGAGAGTGAGAGTTGATTAGAACTGCAATACTCTATGAATAGAAAGAAAAACTTCCTTCCGTATCATTAGAAAATATTTATATTAATCAAAAGTGTGTAGCTGTTGATTACATAAAAATCAAATTGAGATAAAGAAAAGATAGTACAATCGGTGGTCATAACCAAATTTTAGAATATTTTATAGCTTCCGTTCTGTCTAATGCTCTGTCATACGTAATCGAATCTTAGTTTTTCAATTTCTGAAAGCTATTCTCGACATAATTGGGTTTTAATTTTTTGAAATTCTCAATAGTTTTCAACACTGTACTGATGTTTACTTGTTTAAAAAAAAAAAAAAGTAATCCTTTTATAAATTTTTAATAAAATTTTGAACAAATGAGATTACGTATTCGCTCGTCTTGTGTCTCAAGTATGAACAATATGTCAAAAAGAGAGAGTGACATAAAAAATCAACTGTGTTGTCAACTAAACTCTTGTTTGTTCGTCGCCGTCTCGTTGAAACAATAAATGTGTCGATTAGCAAAGATTATATAAGCAGAGAAAAACAGATAGAATTGAAAGTATCTATTGATATAGTAAGACTTCTCTTTTTATTTCGAATCGCGATCATTTAGTATTTACAAAACTACCTGTTCACAAAAGAAGATTAGAGAAAAGAACTAAATATTTGAACAAAAGAAAAGAAGAAAACGAGAAAGAAAAGACAATCATCAGAATATCAACAAAAGAAAAATGAAATAATTCTATAATCAAATCTAACATTTCAAACCAAACTAATGAACATCCCAAAAAAAGAATGAAGGCAATTTATCTGAATATTTTTTGAAACTCTCATAACGTGAGAAAAATTTTGCTAGGTAGTGAGCACGTTAGGCGTCTTCACATGGAGTTTTACTTGTGATGGATTCTGACATTATACATGTTTATATGATACTTAATTAATACCGAAAAATATTGTTCAACCACTCCAGGATCTAATACAATTCATACTCAATGACATCTACTAGTTTTACCATAATCCCGACATACGTACGTAGAAATAGGATTTTTTAAAGAATAATTACGATCATTTTAGCGCCGTGAACGTTCCAAAAAAATCACATGTATGACACATGTGCTATACATAACCAACCCTAAATATGAATAAAATACTAAGAAGCCGCAAGAGTACAAAGATTTATCATAGGAAAAAAGAAAACTTTCATCAGTCAACGGTTTTCTCCGAGGCAAATTGCGACATTATGTAAGAAAATTTTTCTCTGTTAATTGTTTTATTAATAACAAGACGGCAAATTATCCAAACTTCTGTTGTATTTCTCTGAGGGAGGTTGAACACACTTCACGTTTAATAAAATGTCGTTGAACACCTTAAACGTCATTATTTGTACTCTCGCCATGCGATTGAGTCTATAAAGCGAAGTGATACTCGTTCTTGACTTAAATCAAAAATTGATTTTATTTTACTGAGAGGAGTATGCAATTTCTTTTTTTTTATTTCCGTGTGATTATATTTTCTTTTCTTACATGTTCAAAATGAAAAGAGAAATGATTGATTTTAAATTAAGATCAGTTTCAATATTTGTTCTTATTCTCTCACTCCTCTTCGATTTCCTGTATTGTCACCCTATCATCATATTGACAAAACAGATGATGATACTCTACATATATATTGAGTAATATTCTCTCTCTCTTGAATTAATTGATACATCTGCTTAGAATTCGTTTTCGTCGTCGTTTTTCATCTTGAAAATGAATTTTTTACTTTCAACTGTTTGTTTTTCTAAAAACAAACAAAAAAGAAGAAAAGAAAGAAAAATATACACGTACAAACCTGAATCTATATAGTAGTTATGAGAAGAGATTAGATTACGAAAGAGAGAAAGAGAGAAAGAGAGAGAGAGACGATGAAAGGAG